CAGGTTCTGTTCACTAAAGTAGACGTGCATGTCTATCATTAGGTAGTGCGTGGCTGCACAGTCAGCAGCTCACATCATGTGTGATTTCCCGGCCGTGAATACAGCATTATATGAAGACGAAAATTAGCTTTTGGGTGAGTTATACCTTAACATCATTTGGAGGTGTCCATGTTGCTGAGCAACGTGTGTGAAACAACAAAAAGACTCGTGCAGCCGCGTTTGCTTCTCTTCTGAACTTAAAAATATGATTGGCAGAAACGTAGAAATGCTAGATTAAGATCGTTTAGGGGGTCGAATCGAGATTGCGATCTTTTTTCGATTAATTGTGCAGCTCTAGAATAGACCTTTCTACTCCAAAAAGAAAAAATACAAAAGGGAAAAAACTGTGTAAAATAGTTTTTCAAAAGTGCCTTTCAGACTGAAGTTCAGCAGCCTTTGGCTACATTTGTTCTCTTACAAAGGAAAATACTTAGCTAATATGTAGCTTAGATTTACAATAAACAAATAATATTTTTAATACTATATTTTTTTATTTACTCATTGTTCTGTCATTTATTTTCAGTGTAGAATGATGACTTCTGTTTAAATCCCACAACTTTTTTTCACTTATTTTTAAGTCCAAAGAGAAATGGACTATTGTTTGTTTTATTATTTTATGCCGTGTTAATTAGTTACTGAGCAGCAACAAATAACACTTTAAAATATAAGAAGTTTTCATGTGATTTACTAAACTAGTAGTGTTTTGAAATGAATGAATGCATAATAATCGTGATAAGTGATTTGTTCTCAGACAATAATCATACAACCAAAATCTATAATCATTGCAACCCTAACTAACTATAACTTTTATTTTAAAACCATGCCTGCCAGCATAAATCAACATTTTCTGTTCAAAGTATTCTTAGAGCAACAGCGCCATGAAATGAAAAACATTCTGATTCCGAAATGGCACAACAAGACTGTTATGAAAATGATTGGCTACCAATACATCTCAACACTAAAATAAGGCCCTTGTCAGACTCCATGCTATCAAGCATTGGTAACTTTCCAGTTTCACATCAATTTATCCAAAATCAGCAAGTTAATTTTTTTTTAAATCTCATAGATGTTAATCTTTCAAGACTCTATTACCGTCCACACTCCGGAAGGAAACAGGACTACACAGTTATGCAAATACCAGAACTGCAACACTATATAGTAAAAAGATGCACAATGTGCATTACCAGCATGTTTACAAGAGATCTAGCTCTCGGTTAAAACAAAAGAGCTACGTTGGAATTTCACGAGGAGGCTTGTGAATAGAAAGTTAACAGTCTTTTAGTGGGGGAGGAACAGCAGAGAGATCCGACCGCCTGCTTTCATTCTGCTGGGTCCCAGGCAGCCTTCAGAATGATGGAGAGCTTTTCAAACACACTGTGATGGATGCCTCCCTGAGACACGGAGCGCCAGAGCCTCTCACTGCGTGGAGGTAGCAGGGCCTTGAGGTCAGCGAGGTAAAGGCTTAATCCGCTCCTGATGGCCATGAAGGTGCTCATGTTTGGAGGCCATGGAGAGCCAATCACACGGCACGCTTCAAGTAGGCAAGATAATACACAAAAGTACTAGAGAAAATGCAACACTAAAGTCCACTTCACTTGAAGTGTCACTTAAAGGAACATGCTTTGGAAACATCTATCATCTATTCAAAGTCTCAAGATCTTATGCAAGACTCGTGACTTTTGGTCTTCAAAACACTGCAGTCTGGCTTTAATTATTCTGAGGATTATCTTGAAAAAGCAATGCAATTCATTGATCTTCAGTCAACGGCTCCCAGGAGCCTTTCAAAGCTTTGTGATTTACTTTGGAAAGTGGAAACTATGATGTGCTTAAAAATAAAATAAAGCATGTTTACTCCCAGCCCATATGCCCCTTAAATGTCAGGGTTGCAAAATATCATGAGTCATTCGAAATATCGTCTTGGATAGAAAAGCAAAGCACAACATACAATCAAGTCTACAGGAAGGAAAAGACAACTAGTGGACCATATTTCATTCAAACATGACATTTACTGAGAATCTTGAAGGGTTGGTTCACCCAAAAAATACTCAGCATTATGTAGTTCCAAACCCCCGAGATCTTCGTTTGTCTTTAGAATACAAATTAAGATAATTTAGATGAAATAGGAGAGCTTCCTGATCCTCCATAGACAGCAATGTTTCTGGTTTGTTCAAAGTCCAGCAGGGTACCGAATAATATCCTCATAACAGACCAAATGCCTTCATGGTTAAATCGCTACATTATGTAGCCACTGGAATATTTTTGTGCTCACTATGGATGCTCTAGTCAGGGATTTTTGCAGCTGATAGCGAGTAACCATTCCTTGCCATGGTGATCAGCCAATACCAAGTACAGATTCTGATGCTTTAAGCTTTATAAAGCATAGAACACATTTTCAGTCCAAGTATGATACCTAAGCTTAAGATATATAAGATACCATTTAGTGTGAACATCTCATGGTCAGAAGCAACTTTACAGAACAAAATAGATTAAACAGATTAAAAAAGGCAAAAAATTAAATAAATAATCACTAGTAAATTTGGAAAGATTGAAAATCATGAAAGGATTCAACATGTGTCAATGAAGTTTGGAGCTCATTTGATGCATAAGGAGTTTAAATAAACACCTATAAATCCATTACTTCTTTACTAAAAGGAAATAGCTCCATACACTAGTGCTTATTACAAAACAAATATTACTATAAGTTTTATTAAATATTCAAGCTTAAAAATGTTTTAGTTTTTTTTTTATTTCCAGCCAGGATTTAATGAACTTGCAATATTGTTGAAAACACAGCACTTTCAGTTCTGATATGTATATAGATTTTAGCTCTTATGTGTCCTCTGCTTGTTAACTCGTAAACAAACATTTGTGATGAGATCGGTTCATGAGACTGGCCAGATTAGCAAGTATCGATCGAGTCATGAAATGTGATTATCGGCTGATACCGATGTCTGCCCGCTCAATCAGAGCATCCCTTGTGCACACAAAGTACAATTATTCAACAGTTTCTTCTCCTCAGTGTGAGAATAGGATGTGCATCCCATGAAAGTAAGGAAAGTTTTGATGCTGGTCTTTAAACAAGTTGGGACCTTTGCTGTCTTTGTATGTAGTATGAGGAAGGTCTTAGATTTCACCTACAATATCTTGCTTTGTCTTCTGAAGACAGTTCTCTGGGGTTTGGAACAACGTGAGGGTAAGTTATTAATGGCAATTTTAATTTTTGGGTCAACCAACCCCAAAAACTTCCTCTTATCATTTATAAATGGCTTCATTTAGATCTGGTCTCCTCAAATCTCCGAGGTCAAGCTGCACATGGACGCACCACTGATTCTCCTTGCTCTACATACCCTTTTCAAGAACCATAAATACTTTGGCTGCTAGGACTGTTCTCCATAAGAAAAGGATGCTGAGCTGCAGAACAAATCATCCCTCAAACAGGCTTACACAAGATTAGCAATGTTGACATGCCCCAACAATCACTGGAGACCATGTTTCCAGACAGACTTTGGCCCCCTAAAATGTCACGCTCGTGTTGCAAACACATACCATACGCTGCGAGAAGACATCACTGATTGCTTGTGGCCTAGTAAGCATTCACTGTCTTTTGAGAAATTATTTACATTATGTTCTTAAGTTTTAAGAGAAATATTTCGTATAATTGCTAATTATTCAATAACTAAATGTCTTATACTAAAAATACTCGCAACAGTTTTAACTCCATGTAAAACAAAAATACTGAGGAAAGCATGCAATCAATAAGATCAATCAGGCCCTTAACCCTGGCAAACGCAGAGGACACTGAGAGAAACCACAAACGTGAATCTCCATTTGAGAAATATGCCAAATATTCAGTACACAGTAACTGATGTCATTCATGCGGTTTCATTTCCAAACTCTGCTGATGGTGCGTCTGAGATATTGTGTACCATATTTTTGCACTTCTTCCTGTCAGATTCACACAACTCAACATTTTGTTGAAGGTGAAACGCTGACGAATGAGTTTATAAAAGTTAACCATAAATGCATTTTATATATGTATACTAGGAAGAATGCAGTGTTTTCCATAGAAAGCACTACGATCATGCACAAAATTAGGTGGTTGCACACAGAAAACACAATGCACATGGGAATAACACAAAAATGACATGAAAATAATACTGAAATTCAATCTAGAATTTTCAATAAACAAGGAGAATCAACACTTAATGTAATGTGTACCCTGATTTTCAAGCATTCGTTTGCAAAAGTTATGCTGTTCTGAATGGTAACAAACTCAAAAGCATTATACTACTGAAGTGGTTAAATGCAAAAGCCATTACGGTACACTGATTTCCACAATCAGCCAAACCAAAAACTGTTTCCACAAACCTAAAACAAGACAGTGGTTGTGAGGAATGAACTGACACAAAGTAAACATATAGTGATCACTGGGGGGGAAACTGCCTCAGAAATGACCCCTGACCTCTCAAAACCTAAGGAATTTGAACCCACATTCATTTAGGTTGATTGGTTTGTAACTCACTCAAGACAGTACCAATAGAAATGGAAATGCTGTTCCTGAAAGGGTTAACATGCACACAGTGTTTGATCTGAGATAGTGGGTTGCATGAAAAGGAGAAGCCATTCCATAAAGCAACACTAAAAATACAGTACTATTTCATCAATTTGTTCACAGCAACACCGGCTGGAAGTGACCAGACTAATTCCGATTCTGTCACACCAGCCACTAAGATTTATATTAGGGATATACCAGCTGTCTAGGTAGTCAGCTCACTGGGTCTGAGACAACCAACATGAACACATGCAGGAAAATACCCTCACTCATCAGCTGACGTGTATGTGAGAGCCTCAGTGACCCCCCTAAACACTGAGCAGTCGGGGGAGGAACTCCGAACGAAATTGTCCGCATAATGTTAGATCAGAGACTGTGTTAAGCATAAAGAAAACAAAAGGCCACCTACAGTGATTCGAGCCGCTCCAGTGAGGGTTCCTGAACCCGCGGGCCGCTCCCGACACGAGGCCTTTATCCGGGATCAAACAGCCGCGGTTCTGGTGGTAGTAATCCATGCTTAAAAACGGGTTCGGGCTAGGGGTCAGTCCCACAACGTCCACGCTCTCGTACATCGTGAAATAAAAGCCAATATTCTCCGAAAGTAAATGTAGCTGTAGGCTCCAAACGTCATATATTATAGGGCAAAAACACGAAGGATCCTCTTATAAAACAATACAGGGAGCGTCTCTTAAAAAACGCGTGCAGAAGAACTTGAAGGCTTTCAGTGTGTTTGTGTAAGTCAGTTCAGCAGAAGCTCGCGCTGTCCACCGGGAATGAACTACATTCTTCAGATTTTAAAATCCTGCGCGAGTTGTTGCAACACAGCGTGCTGTTGAAGCAGTGGCTCTATATAAGACCCAGTGGTCGACGTGAAACTGCTACATGAGTGCGAGCAGAATCCCGCGCGCAGCCCGTGGAAACGTCCGAGGACTACAGTGGGGAGCGACTGTTTTGAAAAGCTCCCAAACGCCTCCTCGCTCCAAACGAAACGTTGACTAAATATTCGTTACCAGACCGCCGTGTTGACGCATAATTACTGTAAACACGCAGCCGTCCGCATTAATGTGTATGTGTGTGTGAGAGAGAGCGCTCGGTCTGCTGAATAATCCCGTTGAAGCGCTGCTCAGACACGGCAGGAACTTGCTCCGGTGTTTCCAAAAGCCGCGAGCTCAAAGTAATGTCTTTAGCATCTCGTGTCGAAGCCCTCGCGTGCTTCTGGCAAATATCTCCATGAAAAACAAAAGCGCTCTTCGACAGGGTAACTGGTCTCCACGCACTTTCCAGGCTGTCCCGCACCGCAATTCTTGACGAGTGTCAGCAGCTGCGCGAAAAACTCCGCCCCCGTCAACCCCCACTGCACTGCGCCGCGCTCCCATTGGCTGCTGATAAACCTAATCTCAGTCTTATCAATGTGCCATCTATCAGCGAGGAGCTGTCGCCATAACAAGCTGAAGTACAAAGTTTGCTCATACACGTTTGCAATTATTCGCCTGCTGTTTAAGAAAGTGAGATATATATGCAAGAAAGCATTTAAGAAATGGAATTACTGGTTCATAATAAGTTTAAATCCAAATTAACATTATAAAAGTTGGCAAAGACACATTTTCCAACTCCTCTTTAGTTTTTATATATAGATACATTTTTATGTCCTAAACTATTGTTAGTTGTGTTTATGATAGAGTTTAACTTCTACATCTAACATAAACTTGTGCGCTTTAATAATTTTGCATCATATTTGATACTACTGCACACTTTTTTTGACATTTAAAAAGAGTAGACAATATAGACAACAAACTAATCATGAAGAGATGAAAATATAATCATTGTAACAATACAAAGGTTGAAAACAGTATAAAGGATCAACACAAGAAAGCAGATCTTATATAAAATATTCCATCTATGTTTATATAAACACTTTTTTGGACAAATTCATTGGAGATCCACTTATTTTTTTTTATAAACAGTTAAATGTATTAAATCTGTGACACTGATGACAAAAGTCATAAGGGTACATTTTTGGAGACTGAGATTTATATGTCATCGGAAAGCTGAATAAATAAGCCTCGTCTTGTCAGGATAGGAATTATTGGCCAACACACAACCATCTGAAAAACTGGAATCTGACAAAAACTCCCAAAAAGTTGTCTAATGCAATGCGTAACTATCAAATAATATAAATATTTACTTATCCAAACTTTTGCTTAATTACAGTAGGAAAGTTACAGAATGTCTTTAAGGATCATCTTTATTAAAAATTATATTGTTTTTGGCATAAAAAATATATAATTTTTTACTCAATGTATTTTATTTTGGCTCTTCCTACAAATATTTATCATAAAATCAGGGTTATATATACAGATGAAGTCAGAATTATTAGCCCCCTACATATTTCCAAATTTCCCAAATGATGTTTACCAGAGCAAGGGAACTTTCACAGTATGTCTGATAATATTTTTTTCTTGGACAAAGTCTTATTTGTTTTATTTTGACTAAAATAAAATGCAGTTTTTTATTTTTTTAAATAACATTTTAAGGTCAAAATAATTAGCCCCTTTAAGCTATATTTCAGTCTACAGAACAAACCATCCTTACGCAATAACTTGCCTAATTACAATAGCATGCCTAGTTAACTTAATTAACCAAACTAAGCCTTTAAATATCACTTTAAGCTGTATAGTAGTGTCTTGAAAAATATCTAGTAAAATATTATTTACTGTCATCATGGCAAAGATAAAATAAATCAGTTATTAGAGACGAGTTAGTAAAACGATTATGTTTAGAAATGTGTCGAAAAAACCTTCTCTCCATTTAACAGAAATTGGGAAAAAAATAAACAGAGGGGGGCCTAAACTTTAACTTCAACTGTACACAATGTAGATATGATTTTTTTTAACCACACATGACATTTTATATTTTTGGTGTTATGGTATTTATTTATGAGTATATCAAATGCTAGAACTTTTAATTAACGATTATAATAGGCTGATATACAGATCACCCACAACTCCTCCAATAACCCACCGTGCCATCTCTGTTAAGAGCAGACACTCATTGACCCCAAGACTGCTTTATCAATATAAAGTGAGGTAAACAACACATCGCAACACTATCTAGTTTCCTACCACAAAATCCATAGACGCTGTCTGGAGAGTAGTGTTCATAACAAGGCAATGAACACTCGGGCTGCAGCCCTACAGCATCCGTCAGCTCAACGCACCAAGGTTGCTGCCATCCGCTGATGGCTCCATCCATCAGTGAAACGACGTATTAGCCTCCCCTTATTTTCCCGCTTCAGCCCTCACATTTTTGTCCTTGACATGTAAGAGGTACTGTATTGATTTTTCACCATCTAAAATATTAGCCTGCACACAAAAGGCCACTCATTCAATAAATACACGTTTACTAATGGGAGAGTCCTTTTAATACAGCCAGACCCATATAAATTTGGCAATGAAATGGTGAGTGGGGAAAGTGATCAGTGATGCTATACATTTGTGTCAGTCTAAATATATTATGTAAATAAAATAATACTCTACATTTTTTTGGAAATAGGCTAATTTCACAAGTCACCATAAGACTAAGGGTTAAACATTCGAGTTTGATAATTTTTAAGCTGTTAGAGATCCAAAAGCTTACATTCATATAACTATTAATCAACTTTTAAATGGTCTGTCTCTAGATGTGAGGCGGACATATCCACCCTGTCCTCTCCCCAGGTTGCTACGCCCCTGGGCATGAGCACTTTTAGCTTAGCTTAGCATAAACCACTGAATTAGATTAGACCATTAGCATCTCTCCCGAAAAACTGAAAAAAAGCATAGTAAAAGCTTCAATATATAAAGCTTCTCCAGCTTCAGTTTAGTGATTTTGCTTCATCATTTCATTATCAACATGAACAATATTGAATAGCATTTAGTTTTTTTCACAAAAGTAAACATAACAAACTTTCTATTACAGTACACTATGATGTTATAGAAACACTCAACATGTTTTAGAAGAGGCTCATTTTACTCGAGTTACTTTTAGACTGAGTTTCACCAGATTTGAATCTATTTAGCCGATCTTCATGTCTGGCATGAGCACTTTTAGTTTAGCTTAGCATACATCACTGAATCGGATTAGACCATTAGCATCTCTATCAAAAAACTGAAAAAAGCATAGTAAAAATGTACTCTCTGGCTTCAGTTTAGTGATTTTGCTTCATCATTCCGTTATCAACATGCACAGCATTGAATAACATTTAGTTTTTTTCCTAAAAGTAAACATACCAATCTTTCTATAACTGTATGCTATGATTTTAAAGGAACACTTCACATTTAGAAGAGGCTCATTTTACTCAAGTTACTTTTAGATTGAGTTTCACCATAATTGAATCCATTCAACCGATCTTCATGTCTGGCATAAGCACTTTTAGCTTAGCTTAGCATAAATCACTGAATCGGGTTAGACCATTAGCATCTCAAAAAAACTGAAAAAAGCATATTGATCATTTTCCTATCTAAAGCTTGATTTTTCTGTAGTTATATTGTGTAATAAAACAGATGGAAAATGAAAAGTAGCAATTTTCTAGCTCGATAAGGCTAGGAACATTTAAAAAAAAAAACAAACGTGAAAATGTGGGGTGTTCCTTTAACTGCAAAATAATCTAGATAAACCAATTATGCGAACAGAAGTGTGTGACATTTCAGAAGAAAAGAAGTCATTTAAAAAACAACAACAGACTGGCGTATGTCATCGATGGATGCAAACGACCTGAGATTCTCAATACCTTGAGCCTGCAGGAGTGGAGTGGGCCAGTATATCAGGGGAGGAGGGGGCTGTATGGCGGCTGTTAGGAATTCAAAGACTTTATGAGGCTTTAGGAGGAAATGCATGAGCAAACCTGCTGGCAACTTGAAAGTGTGAGGCTATTTATTACCCTCAATCCACCTCCCCCACTGCACTTCCTCTAAATACGCATAAAAAAGCTTCTTTATTTACTATTAGGCTCAAGTTCTTATCAGTGCTGCATGACGTATGTTGTTAAGAGCGGATGCATGTCCTCGAGAGAGTGTTTAGTGCTATGTCAATGCACTTAGTTGAGTTTGCGAGGTGTTAGCATGCATTGTTTATCATTATGCTGTCAGTCACATGACCCAGTTTGTCCCAGAATCCCTGGCTCGGGCGAACAGATGGGTGTTTGCATTCACTCACAATGCCTTTAATCTGTCTGATAGGGAGGGGCCATCATTCAATACTGTTACAATGAGCGCCTGTGCTGACTCATTATATAGTAGCACAGTATGGATGTGCCACATGCTATTAACACTGACAAAGGTCAACAGACAGATAGCATTCAACATTCTCAACAGTGACAGCTTTTCAACTCCAGCCATAAAAATGTATATGACAGAGCGAGCCATTTTCCTATGAAAAGAGCTAGCATGTTTAATCTGAGTGACATAACCTTGATCGCAATCTCCGGACACGAACGCTATTAACTCTTGTGTGAACCTCGCTGAAGCAATTTCCTGAAAGCGAGTGACATAAAAAGAGTGAAGAGGGTTATTTTTCACATAGTCATTAATAATCAAAAGTCACGGATCTTCGG